TTGTTTTCTCATGATGGATTCAGTTTAGAAGATTATATTTGTTTCTAAATGCATTCTTCATTGTTGTCAGAGTTTTTCAGAAAAATTTCAATAAAAATTATACCCTTGTCAGAATGGATAAAAGTTGTGCTAGACGCAACCATGCTAAAAAACTGTGACTTGTCGTATAGTCAACATTTCTCCAATAAACAGGAGATGCCATAAATACGTTTAAGATAAAAAGATTCAATATTCTTGTGATGTTTTCATCAAATAGACTAATTATTTCTCTCACGATGGATGACAGTTCAAACTTTTCACTCATAGCCGTTGATAAATAGTGTTAAAAACTGTCACTATTTACTCTTACAATAAAAATTTGTCATTTCTATTCTAATTCTTAAAAAAAATACTTTCGAGAGATGATCTGTCAAGTAATTAAATGCTTTTAAGCCGATATGTTATTAAACAGTAAGAGACTACTGAATTATCAACTCTTACCTTTCAAGAAAATTGTATTTTGTCCAATTTTTTTCTCTGAAACTTTACTCATATAAAGATCTCAATTAGACTAACTTGTATATCAAATTTCAAAAATTCTTCGATGGGCTCTCTTCGAGAGACATTTTTTTTTTCATCTATATCGTTTAATACTATACCTACGACAGTTCTATATTAATTCTGATCCTGAGAATTGTTCCAACATTTCATTTTATAGAAATTGATATGTTCGAGCTAAAGATGTGCAGTAAAGAGCTTTTTAGGTGGTTTTGATTCACACTTAATTCCCTTAAAACTAAGTGTAATGATTGCACTGAGATAATACAATTCAATTCTATTTTTTTTTTGTTACTTTAATACATCATCGATTATCGTATTGTTCAGACCATATGGAAAAGAGTCCTAGAAAACGTCTGATTTCTCCCAAACAACGCTCGGCTTGCATCAGCTAATAGAATAGAATAGGTTGTTCAGTGAAATCACCTAATTAGGTATCTTAATTAGGTTGAATAAAAAAAATAGTCCAACTCTAGTATGCCGTTCTCGTAAAATGTTGTAGATTTATTCAATACATGCAGATTTTCAATGATGCATATTTCGGAACATTGAAAATACGAATTTTTTTTTGAATAGTTTGGTCCTACATGAAAGAATTCACTAATAATCCAATACCTCGACAAAAACACAATAAGATCATGAAATCTTTGAAGGTTGCTACAATTCAGTGATCTCTTACAACTGAGTGAAATATGGACTTGAAAATCTTTAATCATATGAAACTCGAAAATGTTTTCAGCCATTGCAAAAAATGCTTTATTTCTGTGTTAAAAGAGATAGTAGGCTGCTGATTATGGAACGGAATGCAAACCTTCAACTTTTAGAAAATTTTCAATTTGTTCCAATCAAATCGTATTCTTTATTTAAAAAGAAAAGGATGTAAAATGCAAAAAACCTAGTTCAGCATTGCCTCACATTTTCAACTTTCAAAAAGAAATTCGTTATACCTCAAACTTTTTTATCTTTGTCATATTTCTAGGAAATAGTGGTAGTTTTGAAAAAGATTTGTAAACTTTTCTCTTATGAATGAAAACTTCGAACGGTTCAATTCACATTAAAATCTATTCACACACTTATTAAGCACTGTTCTAATTGAGTATTAATTTCGGTTTCATCCTAAAACTGTTTCTTTATCCGAAAATAGTACTTACTCGTGTAAAAATATAATTAAATAATCATCATTGTCTTTGATTAAAAAGTAGTGAAGTAGTAAGTGATAAAAAACAACATCATTGATTATATTGTGTAGTCTTTTGATAGAAAATATACTGAGAAACGGAGTTGATTCAGTATGTTTTCCGTAAAACTCGATTTTGAGATAAAGGCTATTAATGTTAAGATATTGTTTTCCAATATTATGAATAATTTATTCTTCGATGAATAGTTCGAAACTTTTGCAGCGACACATCGACGTTCTTTGAAAAGAGCTCTTATTTTAATAGAACTGTTTCGATGGGTTTTTTCTCTGACTTAAAATATTTTAATAATTCATATTTCCATTTTTTTTTGGTTTCAGACTAATTCCAGAACGAATTATTTATTTCAAAATGTGAAAGAACTTATACTGATCATCGATCAGGAATGGTCCTTCCATTCAATTGAACATCTTTCGACAATTGTTAATCTATGGAGTCTACAAGTATTGTATTTGGATTTTCAGTGCGAGTGTATGTTTGTTGCCAGTTTGGATACCGAAATGGAAGCTCTATTCAAAAGAGCAAGAAATCTCCATTTCATTCAAATAGCCTGTAACAATTCTGAAAGAATCAAGCTGATAACTTTTAATGCTATCTGTTTGAAATTACCTCATCATATAAAACGCCTTGACACTGATATCACGTATATCAACGACGCAAAACTAATTTTGGAAAGAGTCGAGCATTTATCAAGTGTCACATTTCGAAAATCTAATCCACAGGCTTTTGCGAACGAGATCACTGAATGGTTCTCGCGAATGAAAAGAGAATTTGCATATCAAATAGAGTGGCGTTTCGGAGGAGGCAATGGCTCCTATTTCGACCTTGTTTTTAGCTCTCCCATACACTTTTGGCTTGGCAAGAGCATGGATAAGCAATCGTATGAATTAGTTAGTCACAAACATGTCAAGCGAACACATCACTATCATTACTCATGATTTATTGGTTTTATGCTTCTTGGAACGCTTGATTTCAAATGTTCATTGGTATTTTATTTAATTCAAATGCATGTTCAAAATAATCACATGGATAATTGAAAATGTTCTACACTTAAATTGAAGTTTTTTGTTTTCAAAGACATATTTCTATTTAAAATAAAATTTTTACTGAAAAATTCGATCATTACTCAAAACAGAATACTTCATTCATGAAGTCTTGTTGAAATTCTTAAATTGAAAAATACATCATTTATATAAAGAATTTCTTGTAATGAGCATCCAAATGAATTACTAATATGAATGCCAATACTTTTGAAAACGACTTGTTTCATAAGACATTGATGATTGTTTCTACAGTTCGGCGATTATCATTTTAAAAAAAGTTTTGAAGACTTTAAACCAGTAACATTATCGAACAATTTTATTCTCATATTTCAAATAGCGATGAATAGGGTGTGGGTGGGTGTCGGTGTGCGTGTGGGTGCGTGTCTTCTCTTCACTAGACACCCAGGTACCCCTCACATCCACACCCACCCTCACCCACATCGTCTGTTTTTTTTTAAATAAAATTAGAACGAATGTTATTCAAATCTGACTGATCTAATTTTTTTTATGAATATGAGGAATAACGACATGATTAAGCCGTTGTCGTGTCATTGTTAATCGTATTTATGTCTTTATTCTATTCATAAGACTTAAAGCCTATTTTAGCTGTAGCTGTTGTAATAGGAACTGTTAAGTAGAATCATTAGAATCGAATTATTATCTTTTTATAAAATTGTTATTGTGTTATCTTCTCATCTGTTATCTTTAATTATAACCTTACTTGTATGTATATCTCACTCTACCTTCTCCTTTAATCATTTCTTGATGGGTGTGGGTGGGTGTAGGCGCGCGTGGTTGTTCTTCTTTTCATCACCCACACCCTAGATACCTCAGACTCAAAACTTGATTGACCCTGCTGTTTTTTTCCGCCTTTTTTTCTTTCTTTTTTTCATTGCAAGCTGTATTTCTTCACTAATTCTAATGGGCCCCAGAAATTTTTTATGCGTTCAGATAGAGTAAACAAAGAGCTATCGAATGAGTATTAAATAAGTGATATTTAAGTAACAGCTGGCCTTTGTCTAAGCCATAGAAGATATTCTACTATCGTATCAATAATCATATTTTTCATTATTCTCTTATATCTTTTATGCACATGTTAGCTCTGAGTTTCCTCCCAACTAGAAACTCAATTAAGATTTATTTTTCAGCGTTGAAAAAATGCATCAGATAGGCTACTGAAAAAATTTTGAAAGTCATCTATGTCAATAGATTCGTGGGTTTTTTTAGATTGTATACAGTACAATTAATACTTTGCATAATAGTCATTTCACGTAACACGTGACCGAACCTGTTCAATCGGAATCGTTAGGTTCAGCTCAATGCAAGATAAGTAGTAGAGGTAAGATATCTTTGAGTTTTGGCGCAAGCCATTTTGAAAAATATTGAATCTTCGATTTTTGATGACTTTTTTCCAAAAGTCCTGAAAGTATACGCCTAAAAATAGAGAGCTTGTGGATTGAATAGCTTAGGAATGGCTTGATTGATTGTGCTGAAACTTTTTTTATGGGCATATATCTCAATGAGCTCTACTAAGAATGAAATTTTTAATGACTGATTCAGTATTCACGAAAATTCACATTTTAGATAACTGTGATGCCTCATAATTCGTCAATCGAACAATAATACTAGACTATTTCAAAAGAAGGTTTTTTGATATGTTGGTAGACTACCTACTAAAGTCGATAAAAAAGGCAAAACAAATCAGTTTAGCTTCAGATTTGACTTATTTTTCAGCCTCCTTTTTATGCTTTTTTTTCAAACGAAACGATTCATTGAACTGTTTATCAATTTGATTGTCAAATAGAGGCATATTTCTATATTTGCCGATTGACAGTTTATTAATATTGTTTGTAATCTATCAGATAAGTTTACAATATTGAAATTTTACTGTTGGATTTTAGCAGATGCTAGGAGATGAATAACATCGACAGATAGACACTGAGATACATTCATAGGCCAATTCATATACTGACATCGGTTATCCTAAGTTTTTTGTGCGTGCTCAATTCATCGGTGATGAGTGTTATGGTGCTGATTATTCTAGTATACAATAGTCCATGCTTAAGTTTCTCTGCTCATGCTTACAGTTGCCGAAAAAGATAATTATTCATTTATTGTTTTGATTATTTAATCTAGAATTGATTGAATTTTCCTTCATTTATTAGAAAGAAGAACTATCCAGAACGAAAATTTTATTTGATGCATATATTTTTAAAACTTATATTTAAAAAAGACATTGATAAGCACAAGTAATAACCATAAAAATATAAGCTAAAATTAAATAAACAAATGTAAATCGATATAATACGGGATGACAATAATTATATGTATAAAAATTATTAATTATATCGTATTCATGTGTAACCCACTTATTTACTCTAAATATCCATACACTTCCAATAATCAACCAAATAAATGAAAATATTATACCAATAAGAATAATAATACTTAAAATAAATGGTAAAATTCTAGATTTTAATGAATTAAGAGGAGCGAAAAAAATTGTCAGTATTGAAATAATAATAATAAGAGTTATGACTGCTAATATAACACTTCCAGAAACAATTAGAAAAAGACTAATACGAGGTTCAATTGGACAATAACGTGGATCATGATAAAGTGAACCAATAACAAGTAAGGCAATTGGCACAGCAAGCAAAATTATCAGAACGGCAAGACCGTAAATTGATGCTGCTGCTGCAACACCAGTATTTATATGACCAATCCATGTTTTGGATTGACTTATCTTAACATAACTATTATCCACAAAATTTTCCTTCAAATTTATGGTAATAAATGGTTCAGCCGACGTTTCTTGCTTCATCTTACGCTTAGACTTTAACCTGAAATTTTATATTCAAATAAACGAAATAAATGACATGCTTTAAGATGAAACAGCAAGAAAAAGAAAATAACTATTCATCTATTTAAAGTAGAAACACATACCAAGCTGAAAGAAAAACAGCGTACAACGTATTCAACTCAATAACGAGAGAAAAAAACACTTTTTGCATATGAGATGCAGTAAGAGAACAAGTTATTTCTATTTAATGCCAACTTCAAATACTACTACACGAAAATCATCCATTTTTTTTCACGATTTATCAAGGAAGAAAAATGTATTTGCAATCGTTGCTAATCAAATATGAAAAATTTCTCCTGTTGAAATAAATCCATCGTCAGTATTAAAGACACTATTTTGATACAGATAACACTACGTTAACTTTGAAAAATTTTCTCTAAGTTTAAACAGCTAATTATTTCTCATCGAAAACACATTTTTTATTCAACATATTTCTTAAGAAAAATAATCGAAGTTGAGGATGTGGAAGGGTGTGGGTGTGTGGATGTAGATATGTGAGTGTAGATGTGTGTGTGGGTGGGGTGTGAGTTGTACGTATGGGTCTGAGTGTGGATGTGGGTGAGTGGGTTGTGACTGTGGGTCTGGGTGTGGAGTGCGAGCATGATGAGGGTGTGGATGTATGGATGTGGGTGGGCTGTGAGTGTGGATGTGAGTGTAGGTGTTGGAGGTGGGTGTGGATGTGGATGTGGGTCCGGGTGTGGTGGATATGGGTGCGGGGTGCGGGTGTTGATGACCAGAAGACCTGTATTCGACATCCACACTCCACACTCCGCATCCACACTCACATCCCACATCCACACCCACACTCACACCCCACACCACCTCATCCACACTCACCCAATTTCCAAGCCGAAAGGATTTGATTGGTGGGAAGCCCGATATCAAAAATTCCTGACTGGCTAGATTTCCGAGCTGAAAGAATTTGATTGCTCGAAAGTCCGATATCGAAAATTCTTGATGGGCGAAATTTCCAAGCTGAAAGGACCTGATTGGTCGAAAGCTCGATATCGAAAATCCCTGATTGGCTGAATTTCTGAGGCTAAATAATCTGGTTGATCGAAAACCCAATATCAGAAATCCCTGATTGACCGAATTTCCAAGCTGAAAGAATCTGATTGCTCGAAAGCCCGATATCAAAAATCCCTGATTGGCTGAATTTTCAAGCTGAAATAATCTGATTGGACGAAAGCCAGATATCGAAGACATCTGAGCATTGATCTTTAAGCGGATGTTCTCTGAACCCTAATGTTCTTTTGACCTGCGACAAGCAAGCAAACTATTTTTTTTTCATATGACCCTCCCTTCAGTCCAGGGAATATACAACTAAAAAAAATGCATTTACAATAAATTAACATAGGGAAGTAAGGATAGAGATGTGGGTTGTCTCTTTAACTATAGAGAGACTCCGTCGTCATAGTTACCCTATTGATTATCCTTGCATGAAAATGGAGCGTGCCATTTTCTAATATTTGTAAATTAAGTAATTAAAGATATTGAACAATCAATCATTGGTACATTTAAAGAAATTATCTTCAATAACCATGCGAAAAAATTCATTTATCTTAATCGGTTCAGTATACGATTATTTCATGCTTGATCGAAAACATTTTTATATTTGTTCCATTTCTAGTCTTTGTAGATCAATAAAGCAGAATGTGCTGATTACGAATATGACATTTTTTTTTCAAAATTAGTTGAGTAATAAGTAAGATCTTGGACACTTTTGGAACGCTTAAAAACTAGTTATTGACCTAATACATTATCAATACTCGTTTCAAAATCGTTATAAATGAACTCATTCGATGTAGACTGTTTTTTCTCTATCAAAATTTACAAAAAAAAAAAAGAATGTTTAGAAAATAAGAATCTTCTTCTATTGATAATTATCAAATACTACACCGATTCAGTCTTACAAAAATAGTTTCCATGAATAATTCAGCGAGATTTTCATACTACAAATATAAATTGATATTTCGTCCATAAGTTTGACAAAATATAAATTCGAAGATACATTACATTTTTTGAGATTTATAACTAAAATAAATTCTACCTAATCTTCTCACAATCTAATACATCAGAAAGCTAAAATATGCAAATCTTTGATATAGTAAAACCTCCTTATGTAGACACTTTCTGGTCCGACCGAGCAATTTTTGCTTGAATTGGACCTCTGTAATATGGACACCTCTTGATTCTGGATAGTGGACACTTTTATCCGGTTCCATCCATGATAAACAACCTGTCTAAAGTGAACATTTGCCGAAGTTCAAAGTTTTTTAATCAGTTAGAAGCCGAATAAGAATGTGTACGTTGATTCGATTTTAAGAAACATGTCATAGCTATCGAAAACTAGGTGTGTGAATAATATTCAACGAACTATAAAATAAACTAGCGAGTATAGAATAGACTGGTCAGTATGAAACAAAAGAAGGAAAGATAAGAAGCAGAACAAAATAATAAGATCATGTATGTATATTTAACAGAGAATGATATTATATTCAGTTATTCACTAATGAAGTGACATCAATAAATACTCAAATAAAAAATCTCCTTAATGCTGGAAAACAGTAATCGAAAAGATCCATCAGAACAAAATTTAGAAATTTTAGAGCAAATTAATACAACTGAAAATCCTGAGACTTTCGGTCCTGTAAGAAGATGGTACTTATTTGTGTCACGTAAGAAAACTAGAATTTTTAGTAAGAATATTTAGAATAAGGATTCATAGGCGAATTCGTTGGTCAGCATGTGAATGTTTTTGAAGGTGAGATGAAGCAACACTGCTACTGCTCTCCCATACTCTCATCAGGCCAAAATGCATATTTTCCAACTATGTAACAAATATTATCTATAAGCTGACTTTGCTTGATGTTAAAAACTATGGTGCTGAAACTTTATCAGCTCTTCGAAAGAATAACCCGAATGTGATGTACTTATTATCAGTGAGTTGTAATGCAAAACGAGTGAGATTAGTTTCATTTTAAAATTTCCTACACTATGTATTATTGAATGATGTTTTTTCAAAAAATAAAAATGATATTGGAACAGATTTTAATCATTTATGTTGAAAGTTTGGTTCAAATGATTCGTACTTTTAAAGGAGTTCTGTGACTTATTTTTTAACAATATTTAGAAATAAATTTTGGATCAAAACATTCTCAACACATCTTGTCCGCATCATGATATCAAAAAGGTCAGTTGAACTTCCATTCCCACCTATGTTAGCAACTGGTTTGAGAAAAATCGAAAACCTCTCGAAAGTGGGCACCTCCCTATAGTGGACACTTTTGCTCGATCCCTAGAGTGTCCACTATACCGAGGTTATACTATATATTAGAATAAAATATAAATCAGTGAAATTCACAAGATAAAATATTCTTCAATGCATTCAAAGATCAATAGACATTTTATGATTATATCCACAGAACATCAAAGATTTTCTCCTTCTGAAGCTTTCAATTTCTCATAATAATCAATTGATTCTTATCTTGCGCTACTAAAACCATCTTTATATCAACAATAAAATAAAAGATAAGATTAACTTTTTCTTCTCCTACTTATTCGGCAAAAAAGACAAACTTTTCTTACTGTCATATTTAAATTACTAGACATCTTTACAATGTTTCTATTTCATTGACTTTTGAAAACTAAAACTTTCGCAAGAAAAGTAGTTGCTACTTATTTACACAAATCATTTATTGTATTTTTATTTTTATTTCTTTTGAATGTTTTCAATGAGAAACTAGAGGAAAAAAGTTTCGAACAGCATCTACTGAATCACAGTATGTCTCCGAAGTTAATAAATTTTCTACTTTCGAACAATTGTCTCTTGCTTGTTGTTGATTTTGAGTAATTATAGCTAACAATATATCCTTATGAATAGCCAGTTCAATTAGACGAGGAAGATGACTTCGATAAAAAAATAGTTCAGCATAATCCATATGAATGTCAAATAGAATTAGTGTAGATAAATGAGTAAACTCAAGATTATTTGTTGTCACTATTGTTTTCTCTTGTTGTTCAAGTCCATTGAACATTTCGAGTGTTTTAAGATAAGGCAGATCTCGAGCAATACGTGCAAAGAAAAGATTTTCGAATGGTTTGACATCATCAAAAAGTAATAACATAGTAACCATTGAGAATGTATTATTAATATCGAAGAGTGGAAACCGATTTGAAATGAAATCAAGACGATTGCCAATAAATGGAAGTGAATAGATTTGACATTGTCCATAATTATTATTGAAATAGTCAACTGTACAACCAATAGATTCTTGTTGATATTTCAGAAAACTTTCACGTATTGTATTAATTTCTACATGAGTAGCATTTTGAAATATTGTACGAATATGAAAATTAAATTGATGTAAATAAGGCATGTATGAAACAATATCTTTCTCCAAATCAAATCCATCAACAAAATGATCAAGTCTACTTCTTGTTCCATTAATAGCTAATAATAATGTTAAATATTCAACATTTGACAAACGTTGTAGAAGAGGAACAATACATTCTTTATAGTTACTAATATTCCGATATACTTTCATTGTCACCTGTTTTAAATGGGGACATGAAATCTAAAGAGATAAATTAAATGAAACTTCAAATTAAGAAATATTACTTACAGATGCTATTTGAGAGATATTAACTTTGTGTACAGAAACAAATAAAATGCTAATAGCGAATGAACAAAGTTGTGAGCCCAATTGACTTAGTAAATAGACACAAAGGTCAAATTCACGTAATGTTATTCGGATATGAGTCAGTTGAATTGATTGTGGGAAAAACAATCCATCAGAATTCATTAAGTGTGGTAAAATATAGTCATCGTCAAGTTCGAACGATACAATAGAACGCATAAGTGATGAACAATGAAGATCAGATAAGCCTTGCATACCACCGAAGCAATCATATGACTGAACAAATTGAGGTATCATTGAGCAGAGAGGTTGACGACGAAAAACAGAGTAAACGACCATGCCTGATAAAACATTATATATATACGAGTGTTACAATCATAATATTTTTCAATCTAGTCTTTTACTTTCTGATAATATTAAATTGACAAAAAGAATTATTCCATATTTTTCTCAACTATAATTTCTGTCAGCAATGTTTTAGTCTATTCAAGTAGAGGTTGAACGATTTAGTAAGTTTTTTACTCATTACTTAGAACTGTATAAATATTCTATATATATAACAGCAGTGTACAGATATGTTTTCCATAAAAAATAGCGACAAGAAAAGATTTTCAAATTCTCAAATCATAGAATTTTCTTTATGTTCTAAACAGAAAATAAAATTGATGTAGTATTTAACCACAGTTTAAGAAAATATACTTAATAATGATTTACCTGATCTATCTAATGTATAAGGAGTGCCTGTTTTATGATGCTTTCTACCAATCATTATTTTCAAATGTGTGAAATTTGGAAGAGTTCCATTATAGTTTTTTTTAGCAAAAGTGATTATATCAGGAATATGTCGAATGTTGATTACCAATGATTGAATATTATCAATAATATGAGGCATAATATGTGAATAAAATCGTTGAATAACCGTTTCATATGGTGATTGAACATAATCAAAAGTTAAATCAATTGAATGACATTTATCAATTGCAAGTTGTTCCAAACGATTATTACCAATAGTAATAATAGAATTAAGCAATAACACGCGAGGTTTGATTTTAATCATAATAATTAGAATTAATTCATCAGGTAAATCGAGTAATTGAACATTATCTTCTGTAAAAAAAAACAAAAAAGAAAAAAAACATGATATTTTGAAATAGTTACATACTCATAATTGACGAAGAATTCATTGTTGATATAATATGTTCAACTGAAATTAGAATAGATGTATACATATATATATATTATATGTGAAAATGAAGAGTGACGTTTGACCGACATTATCTAAATGAGAACCAATCATTAATGATTAATTATTTTAACAAAGGATGTTTTTATAAAAAGAAATATATAGGTGAGCCAATCAGATGAAATTACATTGAAGATTTTTTTCATTGTACAATGTAATTTATTAATTTTAAATATATTTAACATTAGATGTGATTTATAATAAGACTAAAAATTATAGATTGGTTAGTATCAATTATTTATCTGTTAATATATGTGTATTTATCTAGATATCATACAAATATTGTTGTGTTATAATAATATTTGAATATTTCTTGATAAGTTATTAGGCATTTATAAAAACGATTTTCCAAGTTTAGCAATTCTATCATCATTCTAAAGACATAATATTTATGCTTTCTTCTTTGTTTAGAAAATTATAAGTTGAAAAATAATCAAAATGATAAACATATCTTTAGAGGAAACTAAACTATTATTATGAACAGAATTAAATGGTTGAATCTAAAGCATGTTAAAACCATAATAACAGTGGCGTAGCCAGGAATTTTTGTGTCTTGGGCAATTTCCTGATAATTTGTTTTTAAATTGGGCAATTTAAAATCTATTGGGCACCTTTTTTTTTAGTGTTTATTTCTATCACAAAAACCGATGCTTCTTAAAGATGAATTGTTACTTTCAAGTTAGAGGCGAGCATAATCGGTTTCTCTAATGTCTCACAAATATATTCTTCAGTGGCGTAGCCAGCAATTTTTGGATCTTGGGCCATTTGGGATAATTAAAAGTCTAATGGGCTTCATTTTTTTGAAAGTCTTATCGATTACGAAAACCAATGCTTATTAATGAGGAATTGTCGTTTTCCCGATCACTCGATTGAATTACTACAGGCAGCGGCAGAGTTGAGAAAATCAAGTCAAAAACAAGTTAAGCCATTTTTGATTTGTTTCACTGACTTCGAAAGAATTTTTAGTAATTTTAACCTGATTTGACTGACTTGTCTGACTTGAGACAAAATTTAACTGACTTGTTCTAATTTGTGACTTAAAAAGTCCCGATTTGCCAAGTTTTGGAAGCGATTTATTAAAGTAATACCACCGAAGTCTTTGAACACACATACATCAAGATTTTAGTCTTGGACAATTGCTCAAGGCTGGCCACGCCACTGCATAATAAAGACTTAGAAGTTTGTTATTTAAAAAAAAGTTATTAAAGAATATTTGAGTATAAAAAATCGAAGTTAACAATAAAAATTTAAAGAACGTTATTATGATAATTGTTAAGATGATATCCATCTAAGAAAAATCAATATTATTCAAATTGAAAATATATACCAACTAAAAATCTTTTTCTTTTTTTTTTCTTTTTTTCATAGTTCAGTTGGTTTTTAATTCAAGTGAATTTTTGAATACTAATAATTCCATTTTCAAACGAAAATATATTCATATTTAGATTTCGTTAACAGTTGAGCTTTGTACATTTTTCTAAAAATTATTTTCATCTCATTTGTTTATTTATGCATCCACATATTTTTTTTTATTGATAATTTTAATATTTAATCTAGCTATTCTTCGAAAGTCTTGGAGTGTGGATGTAGCTCTCAAAAAGAAAATATGAACACCTAGGGTGTGGGTGTGGGGTGTGGGTGGGTGTGGGTGTGGATGTGAGTAAATAAAAGATATTGGTAATTAGATTTTATCTATTTATTAATAATTATCTCAACTTCTTTGTTTTTTTTGTTCAATATAGAAAAAAATTAGATCTCAAATATGAGAATTCGAACTCTAATATTGAATTTTATTTATTGGAAACAAATCATTTTTATTAGAGTAAATAATTGCTTATTAAATGTCTTATTTTATTAAATTTGATTAGTGATAGTTTAATTCAACAATTAAATAATACTTTTGTTTTGAAAAGTTAAGAGATAAGAATTGAATGTTTATTTATTTATTTATTTTAAAACAAATAACTAAATAAGATTTCTCTAATACTAGGTGGATTTCGAATAGGTCAATCAGAAAGTGGAGATTATTTGAAACATTGATTCTTAATGATAAAATGGCCAAATTGATCAATTGATATGCGGCACAAATTAAAAAATGAACATTTTTATTGATTATTAACTAAAGAACATTTTTCAAGACATATTTATATGATCAATTATTTAATTATCAATTTTTCAATGGAATTCAACTAAAAAAAACAAAATAAATCGCTGTTTCGAATAAGAATTTATCTTCATTGAACAATAATCCGTCTTAACAATAATATATTCCAATAAATGTTCTTTATTATCTTTCTTTTCTCTTTTTACATTACTATTCACTAAAAACAATTTTCTTTATTCTCCTTTAACATATATATCTTTTTCTCCGTTATTATTTTATTCGAAATATTATATCCTTACATTTATTCATCAATAATATATATGACTCATTCCGCATAAGTCACGACCTACTCTGCACAATCGACATCATCAGAGTTTGCTTAGTTTTATATATGTTGTCGAGGCAAGAGTTCTTACAATGTTGACCCAAGTCGTTTGAAAAAATATTGTTCTGTTCTCGAGATATTTAAATTTTTTTCAGGTCACTATCGCCAAAAAAAACGTGTATTTTTTGCGATTTTCTATGATATATTTATCTCATCAAGTATACGTGTCTTTTATTTGAGATTTTTACTGTGTGATGGGTTGACCAATACTACACAGTACATAATAAAATTGTTATTTTTTCTAATATTTTTTGCACTTGCATATTTCACGAACGGATAAAACTACAGAGCTGAAATTTTGGCCTCAATGAGTTCTCATTCTTCTAAAAAATTCAGCTCTCAAGATAGTTCCTACCGTTCAGGAGACTTTCATCAAAAGCTGGGTTTAGATTAAAATCGCGATCTTGAGAGAGTCCGGTCCAGAGCAAAATCAAATTTATAGAAGTCGGTCTCATGTAGATCTAAAGTACCTACTGAGTACTACGGAGTTATGAAAAAAAATTGACGTGCGATCTCAAAGAACGGTTTTAGGAGACTTATTGAAAAATCTTCAACAATGAACCCTTTTCTATAGGAAATTTACCTGAGCTCGCTTAGAAACTATTCAAAGAGTTTTATCATATCGATTTTGTGAATCGATAGTGCATCCATTTAAGTTTATTTTTTTCTTAATACTACAGAATAGTATCCTACGAAAAATTTCCATATCTCAAAAACGGAAGAACAATTTTTTTTCAAACAGCTTGCATCAAAAATTCTTGAAACTCCCATTCCTACAACACATATTAAATTGAGCAAAATCGAATGACCTCGATCGAACAAGTTTACAGATTTGTTTGACTATTTTCTTTATCTTTTAAAAATAAATTGAAATAAAATAGACGAATGCTTATCAACAATGAGTACAATGGTTGGCGAACTTGACATCCTTCATTATCAATAAACCTAAGTCGAGGTCGTTTCTTATCAAACAAGTAAAAGTAGTATATGCTGAAATTATTCAACAACAAGTATCAATAGTACAAATAATTCAATTTCTCATTATAAAAACCATATTAGATTTGTTTTTTCATCTTTTATCATATTATACAATAAAAAAAAATTATTAGAAATTTTTTCTAGAAGTCAGATCATGTTCACAATTTCTATTCTGATTTGAATATATTTTCTAATGTTAGATAGACATGTGGCTATTACCCTACTTGCTATTTCTTGATGCTTTAATAAAAATAGTATTTGATTCAATTTTAACTTGGTTCTTTTAAAAATATTTTCTAGGCAAGACAGTGATGAAGAGAGTAATCAACAAGAGATGGATGTGAGAGTGTAATTAGGCGTGAGTATTATCTTCTTCACGTCCACACCCATACCCAAATAATCGTTTAATAAGTGGAAACATCATAAAAGGAATAAAAGAATAAAATAAAGAAAACTCAATTCAAATGCCTATCTTTCACTTTTATTTCTATTAATGTTTATAAAGAATATCTTTATTAATTTGATCAATCGATGTTAATCCACAACAAGCCATATCATAAACTAATTCACGTTTTAATATATCTAATACTCTTCGAACACCATCTTGTTCGCCACAAGCCAAACCATATAAAACTGGTCGACCGATCAAAACAGCTCGTGCACCTAATGCTAATGCTTTTAACACATCAGTTCCACTTCGAATACCAGTATCAACAAATACTAAATAAATAAAGAATCGTTTGGTGACTTTCGTAAGAAAAATTCAAAGTTTCATTCCTATATACACTTTTCTCTTTTACATATCAAGTTCATGATGAAAAAATTTTCTTAAATTTGCATTATACCGAGTGTGCTAAAATATTTGCAACATTTTCTATCTCGGTTTAGGTGAATGATAGAATCTTGATCTTTTTTTAAAAAAAAAGGCGCCGCGAAATACTTCACAAACATTGTATAAGCAGAAATCCCTTCTGACGCGCTCTGATGGTTTTTCTAATACTCAAAATGTACAACTTACATGATAGTGGTACATCCAATCGTTTCGAGCATAATAAAAATGTTTGAAAGATTTTTTTTGTATTATTTTGCGTATGTCTAGGCTAAAGAAAATGATAATATCTTGCTTTTTTTAACGATGAACCTCCGAAAGCTCAATAAAAGCTGTATGAACAAATGTTTAGTGTGAAACAAAAAAAACTTCCATATATTTTTATTACGTACAATATGATGCAAAGTAGCACTATTATGTAGATGATACATTTGTCGTATGGGAAAAACCATTAGAACATGTCAGTATTGATTTGTTAATACAAGTTTTGTAGAGCTTCTTATGGTGCATCTTTAAAAAAAAATAAAAGATCAAGATTTTATTATTTTTCTGTGCAAAGATATTCGCAAAATAAACTATTTTGGCATGTTCAGTATATCGTTTATTTGTTGTTAGTGATGATGAAATAGTAAATTTTAATTTTGCAGTCCTTTTTGATGAAATAAAAATACCATCGTTTATCGATTTGCGATTCAGTTTTTGTCATAAGATTTTTATCTAATGAGTTTGATACTTCAATAATAATTCCACCCTTGCACGTCAAAACATTACACATATAATATTATTTTCTTATTATCTCTGTTTAAATAAATACTTTATATAAGATTAGTTTATATAATTGTAATTAATGACTTTAGTTTGAGTAAAAGGATGTAAAATCAATGTGTTTTTGTTGGTTGTTATATCTTTGAGACACTACGATAGTTCTCTTTTTCTTTGAAATCTTTTATTGGTTCAAAATATTGCTAACAGCCAAATATTAAAAAAAACAAAAACCAACTCCTGAAATGAGGAGATTTTCGGTCAGGAGACAAGTCCAAATATCAAGAGTGTCCTGATCAAATCAGAAGATTTAGCAAGCTTGAGCTACTCTAACAATATAGAGAGTTTAACCAAATCAAAGGCTTTCTAAAAAGGAAGCAGATAGATAACTTTTCTCATCTTAACTATGTCGAGACGTTTTAAAAAACTTTATTTTGCCTAAGATTTAATATCTTAAGAAAACACTTTAAAAATCAGTTAGAGTTTTTTTCAATTGTCATTAAAACAAACTTACCTTCTGCACGTCCATTCACAAGATTGACAACATCTTCTAGACATTCAATAGCTGGTGGTGCTGTATCAATTAGTCGACCACCATGGTTACTAAAACCAATAATAGCAAAAGATATATACAGTTAACTGATTATATGCAAAGAAGATCTGACAATAATTCCATTTGCTCCATATTTAATTGCTAATTCTGCATCAATTGGTGAGAGTATACCTTTGCAAATAATTGGTAATTGTGTCAATTTTCTTAACCATTCAATATTTGTCCATGTTACTGAACCGGTACCAAAACGTTGCTTAACAATTATGCCAGGTATATTCAAATTTGGTATTGACATATTCTTCATTAATTCTGGATCAATATTCTTTTATGCTTCTTCAAATAATGGTAATACAAAATCTCGAATACGTTCATGTGGTTGATCACATGTAATAACAATTGCTCGATATCCTTTTTTATCAGCTTGTGGAACTATTTGTTCTAAGATTTATACAGGTGTTGTTAAATAAATATGTAAAAATTTTGGACCTAAGATTATTAAGTACATTGAAGAGAATAATGAGATAGAAAAGAAAAAAAAGGATATACCGAATGTTTGTAGAACTTTTTCTTCTGGCATATTTGAAAACGTCCAATTGTCAGTAAAAATACATTGGGTTTCAGTTGCAGCACGAGCTGTAGCAACTTCACCATCAACATGAGCAAGACAATGACAAGCAGATGTAGCAATTAGGATTGGTGATTCATATATCGATCTATAATAAATGTTGACAAATGCATTTTGAGTTCATAGTGACGAAGCAAAAGCTAGAAAAAATCCGTCTCTATAGGAGTATCGCATCTTTTTATATTTCGACAGTTTCTCGCCCAAATATAGTTGTTTTTAATGAAATTTCACTAACATCCATCAAAACTCTTGGCATAATTCTTAATTGTTTATCAAAATAATGTCTACATGCTTGATATGTATGTCCTTGACCAGCTTTGTAGTCATAATAATAAAAACGATGTGGCATCATTGATTTCTTAGCTAATTCTTCGAAATCAAATAATGTTTTACATTGTAAATATTTATTTTTCTATATCAATAATGAGAATCAATGAATAATTAAATAAATAAACATACTCGTTTCTCATCTTGTTTTTTTTCTTTTTCTTTGTTGAAAATAATTTAGAAGAATTACAACACTTGTCAACGTTGTACCAAAGCATAAAATATACAATTGACTGTCTGAAAAATTAAAAGTTAAATTTCTAATTATATTGATAAGCATGCTTACTTTTTATTGATTAAAAAAATGCTCTATGTCACTTCAAAAATATCGTTTAAGTTCGATTTCTTAATAATAGATGAATATATTTGCTAATAAATTGAATTTATTTTACTCTTATGAGAGAACTTAGATAATCTTTTTAATTTGTATCTGTGAATTTTGAATTCGAATTTTTCATCTTTAGTAAAAATAGATTGTTTTGTGTTGATAAGCATTACGAAGAATGGAAAAAAAACAAACGAATAGATAAGATGTCGTAGAAGCATGTTAGAATATGATATTACACAAAAAAAGATTAAAAAAAATTGTATTTCTAATGAATATCTCAAAGATCAAAAAAAAGAAAGAAAGGACGGGAGCACTTTTTCGAAGGACGTGCGGACATAAAGCAGCGGACAAAAGTTAAAATTCAACGTATTTTAGATTTTTTTCTATAATGTTAAGCATCTAGCTCAAATCCAGATAGCGATTTTAATAGCCAATAGAGTCTTCTATCTGATGCATTCTATCTCAAATATTCAAAGGTGGCCCATGATAACAAGGTTTCTAAAAACCTGGACACGGTCTTTTTCAGGTCAAAGAAGACTTTATTGGAGCTGTTTTTAAACAATACCACCGGGTGTGAGTGGGTGAGGTGCGGAGGTATGAGGTACGGGTATGGTTGTGGGTATGGGTTATTTATATCATAGCTACCCTATTCTCCACACCCTCACATCAAAAAAAGCTTCGTGGTTAAATTTTCGACGGCATTCAAAAGGCACGTTATTAGCTCTATTTGTAAATCGATATACTCATCTACTTTGTAAAAAAAATCCATTTTCTGAAAAACTCGAACAGGATTTCCGAGGTTGCAGGAATCGATATAACTTCTCACAGCATATTCTTGAGTACCGATCTCGCAAACCAATACAAGGTTTTTCAGCTCACGACAGTACCAACGCAAATGAGAGAAGGCCACTCTCCAGCAAAAGAACGCATTTCGAGGGTGTGGGTGTTCTACCTTCGGTGAGACACACCCACGTCTACACCCTATACATGTGTTATTTTGAGAACAGTAACTTTGAATGTACTATAGGTTATATGGAACAAGATGAGGAATTAGCGGAAAGAGTAGTAGAAATTCAAGATACACTATATCTGAAAATTGAATTTCATGTTAGGTTTATATGATTGATTTCATTTGATTAGGGTGTGGGTGTGGGGTGTGGGTATGGGTGAGGGGGTGTTTTATAGCTATACAAGAGTTATCCATAATCCACACCCACACCCACATTTTCGGAAACCCAAAATGAATTTCCGAAAAATACATTTTCGCTTTCCCAACCTAAAAAACTCGACCCAAGAAAAACCGACTTCCGAAAACACAAAGATCATACAACGGAAACGCAGAATGAGGTTTCCAAAAACATTGTCGACTGTCGATGTGGGTGCCAGTGCGGGGGCGCCAAGGTGTGGATGACTCAAAACGACTCTCACGCGTCTGTCAAGCTGCGCATCCCACAAAACGACTCATATGCCTTCCCCAGCTGTGAGTGCTACGAAAGAACGGATCGCGGAAGGACAATTCACGAAGCGATAGGCTGCGAAATGACTCACCGAGAAAGGACTGACCGCCAAAGGACCGGCCACGAAAGAACTGACCGCCAAAGGACTGGTCGCGAAAGAACTGAGAACAATAGGACACATATCACATCGCACTTGCTGTGGATGTCGCGAAAGAAGTGGCCAGGAAATGATTGGTCGTGAAAGTCTTGGGAAAAATAGAAGACACGTTACCTCGGGGACTCTGTGAATTTCGCGATTGGAGTACCCGGCAAGTGGTCTACAAAGTTGCAGCTGATCTGTGTATGAGGAGAATGATGAGACAGTTTACAATAGTTGGAAAGGGCACCTGAGCATGTGTGCATGCTATGGATGCTGTGTAAAATCAACGAGAGCGTCCTGGTACTTGAGTGTCGGGTTGTCTTGTCAGGTATTGATCAGACATGTTTTCACATACGTGTCATATTTGGAGTTGTGTTGTGAAAGTAGTTATAGCGCGTGAAGATGGTTTAGTTGAACTGTTGCGGTGTTGGCCATACCATAGTGGCTTTGAAAGGGGAAACCCGATTCAGAATATCTAGAAAGATTAGAGCTGATGTGGCTCTCATGGAATCAGAGCTGGGCAAGTACGCACTTTCTCGAGTACGAGTACGAGTACGAGTACCAACCCTCCGAGTACGAGTACCAGTACGAGTACCAACCCCCCGAGTACGAGTACGAGTACGAGTACCAACCCCCCGAGTACGAGTACCAGTACGAGTACCGACCCCCCCGAGTACGAGTACAGTACGAGTACGCACAAAGTCGTACTCGAGTACGAGTACTTCGAGTACGAGTACAAATTTTCTAAGTATAGTCTTAAACAAAAAGTAAAGTAAAAAGCTCTTTTTTCTATGTACAACTCATTTTTAACTTCTAAGGGTTTTAGTACTGTATGGTTTTCTACCGCGTAATAGTACATCGGTCAGTGTGCGAGATATTACTCTAAACTTCTGAAATATTTAGTGAGAAACAGACATTGGAC